CTGTGAATGAATTTGTGTTTTTGAGAGCATCATGTCTAGAGACCAATCGTCCACTAAGAAAAAACGGGAAGCACTAATCGTTTCTTGTTGAAAAGGGTCCTCTAATGTTTATCTTTGTGCCAAAGTGGCGCTGAATTGTGACTTGTGCTAACTCCTTAAGTTGCGCTCCTTATAACTTTCTGCCTTCTTTTTACTTTTATAATTAAGACACTTTCAGGTTTATCTGTATCAACGATGGATTTACCGTGTTGACCCTAAACGTGTTAACGAATTTGGATCATCTTTGGAGCCTACTGCTGATTCAGAAGACACAGCACAACTAGCGATCACCGGCTCACCCGATGAGAAGATGCCAAAGGAAACGAAAAAGGATCTCTAGTTGGATTGTACTCGTTGCGCCTTTGGTAACAAAGTAGGTATGACACTGAAAGCGCAATTTGATTCGAAACATGGTGAAGCTACGCAACTATTTACTACTATTTGCATTGTAAACGTGGAATAACTGTAAGATCGTTGGATATGAAAATCTCTAGCAGGAGTCGCAGGTTGTAGACGCTCTGGATACACCTTGGCGGCAGCACGCAGGGTTTATTGTTGAATTTTGCCCCATTCTTTATTTACTGATTTCTTCGTAGTTTGTCAATTGTGAGGCTAGGCGGTTTTAGCGTTTTGTAGTGCTGTCGAGAGCTCTCGTACATGCACACTATTGCATCGTATCTACTTCCTTTAATTCTTTTGTAAAGCTCAGTTTCAATACTATACAAAGCTTATTCCTTTCTATCTACACTCACACTTTCATCGACAAAAGCCTTGTAATCTTTTCAATCTTCCTTCCTTGTGATTGGTAAATTCGTCATTTCGAGGTCCAAGCGGTTTTCTATAGGTAATATTCCTTCATGCTTTATCCTCCATGTTATCCCTGATATGGAGTTCTCAACTGAGCGCGTCGTTTTCTTTTTGTGACAAAAGATAAAATTATGAAGAACAATAGGAGTGTTCCGGCTTTCCTCAATCAGCTTCATTACTCATGTTGACAAGCACACGGGTATTCTGGGCTTCGAACTTTCCTTCTACTCTCTGCTTCCGAGAATCAGGTGCGCGTCGAGTGCAGACCACACACCACAAGTGACGACGGCCTCCAAGTAAATCTGATAACTGTGATTCATAGTGATAGCTGTTGGTAAATGATAGTTGTAATTAGTGACAACTGATAGAATACACTGCAATCATTTCATTGGCATAAAACATTCATATTTCGTGTAAGCTATCACATGAACCACTACCACATTTACTTGGAGATCGTCGCCACTTGTGGTGTTTGGTCTGCGCTCGGCGAGCAGCTGATTTTCGAAAACTGATGGTATGCTTAACAATTGTTCGCGTCTGAAAAGAGCGATATGCTGCTTGTCACCGTCAAGGCGTAACTAAAGATTCTACTAGCTGTAATTTGTCGCGGGAGCAAACATATTCAATGGTTTTACAGCTGTTCTGTAGTTGCGATGTAAAGTAAATATTTGCAGAGATTCATAGTGTTTCGTTCGTAATTGCGATTCTCGTGCCGTTATTAAGGTTGCCACCGTAATTATGGCGCATCTTGTAAAGTTTCAGGGCACAGCTTATATAAGGATGTGTCATACCCCGTTTTCTTAATATACGATTGTGAGCAGAATTCCACTAAGAGCTTTCCGACTACTTACATTCATATTGTTCGTAACATAGCATTAAAAGTGTGTACGATTGCTGTTGGAATATCAAAGTTGTTAGTCGTTGACATAGTAGAGTTGTAATTGCTGTGCATGACTGGTAACAACGAATTGTGAAGCAATTTTCGGATTTGATATGACGATGTGAATTTTCAGATATGATTCATTCTATTGTGGACTGTGATTTGTTAGACATCTTAATATTTGTTAGGATTAAAACTGTCGCATACAACTGCAAAATCGTGTGAAATCATGAACTAGTCGATCACTCTACCTTGCTCTATCTGAACTATCCAATAATAACTTATTCCAAACTTATGATAACCCTTTATCACTGCCTTGAATAAATTGTTGCTGATCGGGGGAAAATCAAAAACTAACGAGAGAACCGAAGAACTGGCTGAGGAGATGTAAGACTGTAGCACCCACCCATTGTGCGAGGTCAGAGTTCGATTCCCGCCGTGGGCAACGTTTTTGCCCTGCTTGGCGGAAATCGCCTCAGCGACCCCAGCACTGGGAAGCAACATTTCGAACTCCACAGTCTTCGTGAAGTTCAATATCAAACTGCCATCAAAAAACTGCCGACCAGTTTGGCGGTTGCATATGTGAATGCAGTGCACCGTATAGCGAGCGGGTTTGGATGTTAGCGATACCATGAGGAAATTCAAGTACGCAAGTGCAGGGTCAAGCGAGGCTTCGAGGAACACTTTGAATACGTCTCCCCCTTCCCCGATAAGATTGTCATGCACAATATTCTCTGCGCACAGTTGTCCTGAGAAGAAATGTGATTGCTGTTGCAAGGTGTGCAGTGACTTATTGTTAGAGCAGCTTATTTACTAGGGGAACACGTTGAAAATTGAACACGTGTTCAAATGACAGAATGGGTGAATTTTTACTCAAAAAAAAAACGATTTAGAAGTCTCTGGACAATTTCTTCCCAACTTCTATCGAAATTGCAGAAATTTACTAGAAATGACCGTTCTGGAGTAATCAACGAGAAAAATTCTTGGGAAGCGCGAGTTTTTGCACTTTCAAAACTTCCTTCATATATAGCATCTCGAAAAGTTTATATAGCGTTGAAAACCGAAGTTTTCCTCTATTCAATGGTATACCTTGACAAATGAAATTTGCGACGGGAGCATGCCAATAAAGGCGCCGCAGATCTCGCGCGATAACACATGAAAGCCCGAGACGACGCCGAGAGGTTCTCCTTCATTGCAATTCCGCTGTTTTAAGAAGCATAACTCCTTTTATGTACATTTTTCTACAAATATGAACACATCTTTTTGATTTACAGAGTTTCTGCTTTTTGATAAGTGTGGAAGTGACTTGCGAAGCTTCACTTAAAGCACCAAGACACGGCATGCAAACTGTGCGGTTGATAATTAACAGGCACCAGGTACGACGGAGGCGGAAAGTGTGCAAGTCGGCAACGGTGCACGACTCTACACGAGCGAGAAGCGATCGGGGATCAGATCTTGCAGGGTCTGGCTGCGGTCGCCCGGGAGCCAGACAAAGGCCTAAGTCTCTCGTGCCGCGAGGATCCGGTCGGTTCAATTGGTACCAGACTTGTCTGGGAGGATAAAAACACTGACTTGAACATCGGCTGGCCCCCGCAAGTCATTGTATAGGCCACATCGCATTCAAACGCCACTACGAATGTACAAATGGAAGTAGAATGCGTGCCGCATCCCAAAAAGGGATTGATCAACGGCAAATGCTTTATCCTTTATCCTTTTACCATAGAAACGCTGAAATACTTCGTGGTAAATCAACCGTGGTACGATAGAGGAACACAGCGCTGCGAGGAGAGGGAAAACACGAGACACTCGTGCGCGGAAGCGTGCAGACGCCACGTTGCTGCGATTGATAAGAGTGTGAGCGGTCGCAGCGGTCATGCGAATGCATTAGCTCCCTTGTTGCGCATTTTCTAGCCGAGACAGTACCACTACTTCTGTGGTTGGTGGTCCTACCTAACACGAGGAGAATTCCTCTGATGATATGATTGTGACCAGCTTAGATGGTTGTATGTTGGCTATATCTTTATGAAGATGAGGCTCAAAATTGCATATCTTTTTTGTGATGGGTTCCTTCATGTTATTTTGAGCAGTCTCTTCAAGGAACCATTTGATATCTTCCAAACTCATACCTCCGTTGAGGGGAACGAGAATTGGAGACCACATCATTGAAAGAACTCGCTCAAGAACGCGCCGTGCATTCGGCATCCAGGAGCGTGAGTCGCTGTTCCAATCCGCTCCCTACAGGCTAACACGGCTCTGATCATTGCTGATCCCGGCACTTACAATGCCCCTCCCTCTCGCTGGACTTAACTCAAGCCCCGCCGTTAGGAGTCCCCACGCTTGACTCTGATGACATCTAGCATGCGGCAGTTGGTAATCCCGAATTTGCCTCCCAAATTCTAAGAGGCTTTACGAAGAAACTCATGGGGGGGGGTGGTAGAGAGGTCGGCAAATATAACAGCGTCCTCAAGATTACCTAATCCCCTAGCAGTACATCTTGGTGGTCTCAAAGACCGGTCCAAATGTGCGATTTTTCAAAGAAAATGGTGCTTACGCAAAACATCACGAGAACCCATTCCTTGTCTTTTGATAGGGCATTCATCCGTGTCAATAAGCGTGGCCACGGAACCTTCCCGGCTGGAGACGTGCTCCCTAGCGGATAGTGTACCCAGCCACAGATGGGCATGCTGAACAAAGTACCTGAATGGAGGTTGTGTGGCACACCTCTTCTGCACGGCTGACATCCCACATCCCCCGGGAGTAGGCTCATGGCGGTCATGACGAAATCTTGCCAATCACCACATCCCTCATCGTTCCGCGTTCTATTATTAAAGGCAAACCCCGGGATTAAACTGGTGCTAGAGCGCTTCGTAGTGATAGCTTAGCTGCGGAACGACCTGAAAGTGGGAAGGAAAGCAAGAGAATCTTTGGGAACGCTGAAATTAAGGCCTTAACCTTCAGTAAGGTACGATGGCGAGACAGGGCGATCAAAGAAGACAAAATACGCGAGAGAGCACGTCGTTTGAGAGAGCACGCTGATCTCTACATCAATGCACGCTGATCTCACCATCTCTCGCGGTGGGTGGGAAGCGTTGGAAGGGGGTCGATGGTTGCAGGCCCGTAAGGATTAGCGCCCTAACCGCGCAATTTTGCGACGAAGCTGGAGTGATCTAGGTAGGTACGGACCTTACAATTTCCCTCGCGGTATCCTTCCTACTAGTCGGGCTAATCCCGGGGTTTGCCTTTAAGGATTTGCAGACTTTCTGTGGAATACGATCCAGCTGATCAAGCCGAGAGGTGTGGCAGTTGATTGGGGAGCAATTAGCTCTCAGTTAAACGGGAAGGGGAAAAAAGCTTTTTTTCTCTGTACCCATTCAGGAGCCCTAATGATGCAGCATTCCATTTTGATTACCCTTTCGGCTGCCTTCGGATTCTGGTACCTACTTTGCTGGGACTTCAGCGCATGTTTATTTTGGGCGAGTCGCTGGGGGTCTTAGCAGTCCTGTTATAATGGTTGGCAAGGTCCTGTTCTTCTTTGTTCTATTTATTTCTGAGTTTTTCTTTATTGTTCGTTTTTAGTTGTTTCACATTAAGGGAATTTCGCTGCAACCTATACAGCATTTTGATTAACATAACCTCAACAGTTTGGAAAAAGA